AAACGCCCATACGTCTCTCCTTAAAAGTCCCCGGGAAGTTCCCTTTTAAAATTCTTGATCGGCAAGACGGGAGACGTATGGGCGTTTCTAGCTCTGGTTTTGCGGTTTCGATTTCCCTAAATGCAACACAGTCCAGCCAAGAGTGACGTTCGTCGAAAAAGGACATACACACAGACGTACAGTAGTTGTCGACATCAACACACAATCGATCACAAAACAGTAAATCTGAACGAAGAGAGAAACAGAGAACACATCAGTATTTGTGTACAGTATGCAACGAAAAGTCCATTTGACCAATTGCCTTCGCAATGCTGCATCACGAGCACTAAAGTCTTCGCAACATCCGAGTCAATTCAGCCGCCTTTCGCTTCGATCACCAAGTACACCATGGACTCAAGTTCCAAAGCATCAAAAACGATTTCTGTCCTCCGATGTAGCAGGCACAGCAACACAGAAAAAGGTCAAATCTGATGATACCAATGTCTTTCTCGACAATTTGGGAAAAATTTTCCTCGCAACCATTGCTGCCATAGTTGGTGCCTTGATTAGGAGTTCTTACAATACCAGCAATAGAAATGCTGTTCGTGATGAAATCGAAGCTGTATCAGCTCTCGATCCCGTCGAAATCGACGAGCTCCGAATAGCAAATTCAGTGCTTTCCCCTACAGTCTACATGAACATCGCAGAAGATCTCTACGAGTGCTTTCCAACCGGCAGCTGTTCTTATCAAGCATTCACAAATTCCGCTCGGAAAACCATGATGCAGCTAAAAGGTGAGGCGTTTACGATCGAGCTTGGACATCAAGTTGATAGGGTTGTCGCCGACATACTGGCGAAGAAAAAGGCTTCAGTGGACGAACATTTACCTTTGAGTCTCTGGCTTGTCACTTTGAGTTTGGCACTTAATAGCTCGATAGACGACAGACTTCGCGTACTCTACAAGGTTTTGGAAAAGGAAGAACAACCGGTCAGATTCCACCAGATACCAGTCCTCGTCAGCAATCTCCAGGACACATGCCAGCTCCCCCCTGATACTCAAGTTGTTTCAACGGCAACTAGTTTTCCGACACAGCAATGGGAGAGGGGCTCCCCGTCACAACTTGTTCCATGGGAAGGAGGTTATGATGACGTCATAGACTTGAATGGTATGGCTGACATATTGAGGAGCAAATCCGTTTGCGCTTGGGGTGAATGCTACCACAAGAAATCATTCCAGATTCGTAAAACTTGAAACTAGGATAATTGATAGAGTCGTGACGACGCTCATTGTTCTTGCTTGTTACTGCTAGCAAATGCCTATTCTTTCGCTCCCATCGCAAAGTGCACAACTCCAAAACGGCCATTCACCATCCAGGACGAATCTAGTTGCTTGGCTCTTTCGATTTGTTTTCTGTCCATACCAACTCCAATTTCGGCCTTGAGAGTTCGAAGAGCGCAAATTGGTGTCGGAAAGTAATTCCCAACAACTTCATCGAAAGGAGCGGCAAGGTCCCACATGCAATCACCGAGAAGCCTACGATAATTGGCGTCTCCCTTCACAAACGCTAAGTCACATCTCTCTTTCATCTCAGTGCGCAAGGGTTCTGTCATCTCCCACATTGGAAATGCTGAAAGGAGAGTCAGAGAAAAAGGCGAATGCAAGATCTTTCCGTGGAGCAAACAGAGATTTTTTCTTACCCTGCACCCAGAAGTTGTGCTCATTAAACTTCCATTTGCCTGTATCCAACAATTCTCTCCACTTTACACCAGCCTTGTGCGCATTTGGGAATTTTTTAGAATCAAGATTCTTGTAATAATCGATGTGTCCTCGAAGGTCTTTTTCGAGAGCATCAGATACAAAGGTTGGCTTTATAGTTGTCGATTCAAAGTAGTTGAGTCATCATTCATATCATAAGCAGACAAAGAATCAAGCAAACTTACATGTGATTTTAGCTGAAAGGTAACACAAGATGCTATACCGCTCTCCACGAGATGCTGTGCCAAAGCAAGATCGGTGATCAACTCAAAACCTGCATTATCTACGATTACATCGATATGCCCGCCACCATTTTCTCTCAGCTTTCCACAATAACCTGCTAATGCATCAAAGTCGTCATGGAGAAGATTGTCGCTAGCACTCGCTAAAATGGTTGTAAAGATGTCAACACTAGCATCTGCAGCATCCGCTGGCCTGTTTGTATCGACATGAGCAATTGCAAATCACGGCAATCACCTAACACAACGATGAATGCGACAATCTTACCAGATTGAAAGGTCCATTTTATTGCCCCATAGTGCAATCGATGCAGCGAGTTCAATACCTTCACTTGTCTTTGGCAAGTTTGGAATTTTCCCTAGCATGGGCTCTAATATGCAGCGTGGCGATCAGCAAATGAGATGAGTCGAAACTGTCAAAATCATACCTACAAATTGCTACACATCGTACCAGCTGAGCCGACTGAACTCTCCAACCCGGCTTGTTTTTGTTTGGCGAAAGGATCATACTTGTAACCTGCAGAAGATTCATCCCAGTAACCTATCACCTCTATGAGTTTTCTGTAAACGAAGAACTCGGTGACCAGCCAAGGAGCTGATAACCATGTATCCCGTTTGTCCAAATAGGGTTGCAATATCTGATTCCACTCGTTCCATTCCTTGACTCGGTCTTCGGGAGCGTCTACGGGAAGTGCATCCAGCATCTTCAGCTGGCCAGATGATCCAATATCTTCTCTCAATTCCAAGAACCGCTTGAGAATTGACTGAAATTTCGGACTTTCCCATTCTTTTTTGTTGTCTTCATATGTACGCTGAAGTATCTCTTCGTTTACTCTTCGTTTCATGGTGTCATAGGCCCAGGTGCCTGGAACATCTGAACATATCGGCTCTGGAATTGGCAGGCCCGGCAAAGGTGAGTCCGATTTTATCTGCATAGACATGCAAATAAGGGAATTGTGTGCTTCCAGCACGTTCGAAAATGAGGCAACCAATAATGCGCAGGATTGGAAAAGGTAGTGCACTAGCGCCCTCTTCATCGTTTCATTTGCGGAGTTACCAATGTAGTAGGAGGGATAACGGATAACCAGTTGTCAACAAAAATCGACTAAGCGGACCATGACCACTACGATCTCTTTTTGTAGTCGAATGGATCACAAGATACCCCAGAAAAACGATGTCATTGATTGTACGGTTGAATCTTCGTAGAAGTGTGGTACCAGGTACTTTGACGTCGTCAAGTGTTCTGAAGAATATTGAATATTGAATCAATCATTCGTTCTATTCCAGAAAATCAACAGGTCCTCAACATTGAACATGGGCAATCCAAACGATTCAGGGCGCCTTCGCCGCCACAACTCTGTACCCTCAAAATTCCACCTCAAGTCCTTCTACATATCTTCACAGTTACGTTTGAAAAGCAATCCTTATGTAGGCTCTTTCCGCCACTCTCCACCTACAAGCTTTTTATCGGTGATGGTGTCCTCGGGTGAATTGCCTTTTCAAAATAGAGGTTCTCCATTAAGCATGCCATCATACCCCGGATCTTTTCGACGCACACCTCCTTCTTCAGTCTTGGAACAGACTGATGATGGAAGACGACTTCTGGGTGGTAGTCCCACCGCTGATTCCGAAAACTTTGAAAACAGGCTTATTGAATCAAAGTTCTTTGAGCAAGGAACCGGATATAGAACCCTGCAAGTGATAGCAAAATTGAGTCTCTGGCTACCCATTCCATTTCATTTTGCTCTCGTAGACAAGGGAAAAAAGAGCGTAACTAATGATCAAATCGATGGGAATAGCTCTTCATGTGATGATGACGGTCGAGATGACTACAGCGATGAGTTGTCATTGTCGACCCTGACTACTTGCGACGGGGAAGCAGGCGGTATTCTTCCTCATAACGCTCGTCCTTTGGAAGCGTCGTTGTCGCACGTCGCGGAGGCATACTATGCTCATCAAGCTACCCAACAAGTTGACGAATTCTTGTCAAATGAGCAGCACCTTGACTACGTAGTCACTCAATTTGATATTGCCCGCATGGCAAGGAATGCTTCAAAGCACTTGGATGTAGAGAGCATACTATCCCTCCCAACACTTACGTATCACTGCTCTACATCCAAAGACTGCAGAGATGGAGACGAAATCAATGAAAGTTGGAGCCTTGTGACCGCCCCAAACATGGATAAAGTCACGGAAGAAGTAGCCATGGAGAGTAACATTTGTGTTATATGTATGGAAGAGTATGTTGAAGGAGACGGGTTGAGAGTGCTTCCGTGCAATCACTCGTTTCACGTGGGATGTATTGATCGATGGCTCTCGGGATCCCACTCGCATCTTGAATGCGTGACAAATGTAAGTGTTTCTATTCCGTACTGGTGGTTTGTGCCACGTGCCATGGCAAGATTTCACAACAGCTCATGCACTTGTTTCCCCGATTTTGTGAAACCAAGGGCTGCCCAGTATGCAAGGAAAAACCAGTCGCCATGGTCGATGATTCAGCCATTGAATGCGATGGATATGTCCCATCATGGGCATTTACACAACTCGGAAATTCCTTGGCACGATCACTTGGAGTACCATGATTGGATTTTTTAGTCTCTTTTTGGGTGTCATCCAACTCACTAGTCCTATCCGTGCTGTATCTGTTTTATAATATTCATAAGTGTAAGAAATAGTTCCAAAAACATCTCAATTTCAATAGCAATTCATTCCCTTTACTGCTTCTCGTCTCACCTCTCTTTTTTATCAGCGAATATTGGAGAGTACACACCACGTACCATACTGGTACCGATAGTTTTAATCGGTAAACAATACCGATTCCAGAAAGTTTTATGTTGTCCGCACTTTCTACGAGTTGCGCCGTAAGAAAACCACGCAAAATTGGGCCACTTCTTTTCCACTGTATTTGGGGGCACCTTGTCCGATGCTTGTCCATGGATGCCCGCTACCACTACCTCCGAAAGCGATTCCACGGAGGACTTTGTCGTCTTATTACTCTCCTCCACGGC